TCCGTGGAAGATTCCTTTAAGCATATAAATCGCTCAGAGACAGTTCAGAGACCGGAGTAAAAGTGGTTAGAGATTGGCGAGGAAGAAAAGTTAGGTGGGACATGCACCGAAAGTAGGCGGACTTTACCACGAGAACCACGACTTATGAGTCGGTCTAGAGGCAGTCCGGAGACGCGGAAAAGATGGACAATGGTTGGCGAAAAAGAGGTCAAAAGCCATCGATGAATGTGGCGGATAGAATCTACCTCAAAAATCTAATTTCGCAGTGTATCGGGTCAAATTTGCGAATTTACGCCGCACCATCCCATATCGCCGCAGAGCTGTGTTATGCGTGCGGCACCAGCTGGTACACATATATTTACTTCCAGTTCCCACTCGACGGCCGTTTTGGAGGGAAAAGGGGCGGAGTTGGGCTGTGTCGACTGATCTCAGAATCTACTACTGTAGAAACAGTCATGACGTTGAGAACGGTGGTGAGTTGGGGTAGGGTTTGTATTGGGGTAGCCTCCTAAGGCTGATGGTGATCGTGGAGACCCCCCTGAGGGGGAAGGGGGGGGTCGTCAAATATGGGGTAATTGTGGGTATCGCTCGCGGTGATGTTCAGAACTGATCTCCGAAAAGCTCATTAGGGGATGCTTTTTTACTTCATTTTCATTTGATGCGCTGTGTAAGACAACGTTGAAAAGTTATAACAGACAACAACAAAAGAATAAAGGATGAATAATTTTGGGATGCGCCGCATTCTACTTCCATTTGTACATTCGTAGTGGCGTTTGAATGCGATGTGGCCTATACAATGACTTGCGGGGGCCAGCCGATGTACAAGTCAGTGTTTTTATCCTCCCAGACAAGTCTGGTACCAATTAACCGACCCCGGAGGGATGGAAGGCTTGGTTGGCCCGGCGACTCACGACCCCGGACCGCGCTTGGTAAGCATGCCACTTGCCACTACACCACTTCCTCCCTCAAGAAGACAAACCAAGTAAAAGAATAATGACAATGAGATCTAAGCTTGGAGAGCATGAGTTGCTACAGAAGGTTTGAAGGATGCCAAGGAGCCATCGAAAAGGGAAGCGCCGTTGGCCCACAAAATGCAAGGCCGGCTCTGACTGTGATGTAATTTTGCCTAATAGCGGTCTTAAGTCTAGAAGACGATATTTTTAGTGGACCACTCCTGGTTTCGGACGATATTAGTGTAGAAAGACGAGAAATTCATCCCAGATTTGTGGTTCAGGAGTGCATGTAACATAAATAAATTGAAACAGTTGCGCCGAAAATGGGGGAAGGCAAATAAAAGGACATTTCTTATTGTGGTTTAGAGATCTGAATGTAGAAATGTCAAATGAATAAGAATTTCCAAGTGAAGTTATATTGAACCCTCTCAACTAAGGCAATGTCCCTCGGGATGTTCGCTGTCTGAGATCGCGTCTCTTGTTTCTTGCTAGGTTCCAGTAGAACAGAGTGGCTTGAAGGCAGTGGGCACAATGGTTGGAGCGCAGTGGTTGATGTCGTCATTAGGCATCATTTGTGGAGGTGTTCAGCCTTCCTCTCTTCCTCCACCCCGACTTCCCACCGATTACTTCATCAAAGCACTCCCTGCAGTCGCACCCGCTGTCTATAAGTCCACCTCTCAAACCAAGGAAACTTTCTCGCGTGAAAGCCAACGATGCCCATCGGAGAGAAGACAGACTGCTAGGTGACAGCATCCATAATATTCTAATAGAATAGCAGTTGTTGGATGGGGCAATCGAGTAGATGACGTGGGCATTGTGATTTTCCCTTGTGTGTGTTGTTTTTTTCTTCCCAGCAGCGTTTACCTTTCAGAGGTTGTTTTGCGTTATATTGAATAATTGTTCTCCTGCACTTTATACTCGCTGTTTCGAGACGTGCACAATGCTAAATGAATTATGCAAAAAGAGTTTCGTCTGTGTGGAAATGGGGTTCACCGGCGCCACACTTCCACACGTCGTCAATGGGTTAAAGGCAAAGCATTAAACAATTGGATTTGAGTACTGGAATTACATTCGTTTTAATGGACTCGGTCCACAGGAATAAAGAAGGTCATTGATGTAAATCAGGACAGTGAGTGAAATGGAAGTGACTGTGGTGTGTTCGCCTGTAAATTCGCAGAGTTCGCATCGAGGCGAGCACCGATCGTCTTCACGCAAGAACACATGCCGTACTATCGCCGACGAATGTTATACGAATTGGTGACGAAGAAATTATTGTAGTCTGGCACCTTCCAAGGTGATGTTGCGGAAATGTCGTTTTGCGACACTTCTTGTTGAATACAGGCGTTGAAAGGTACTGCGTTATCGGCGTTGTGCTATCTTATGGCACTGTTCCTCTGTTAACGACTGTGCTCTTTGTTCTAAAATTGGTCGACCGGATTGCATTTGGCCTGCAATCTTATCATGTGCATCATAAAATAAGCCGCTAGGCATATTGGGTCAGTGTGCCCCAGAAAAGGTTCATTACATGAGTGATAAGTGTTCTTTAAAAGCCACAGTCAGGGCGCTAGGGATGATGTGAGGTTCCATAAGTTCACTCATTGGTACACCAAATTACCGTGTTCGGGATTAATTTTTGAGGTGCCTTAGCTTCCCAAGCAAACGTGTTATGTGTCAGTACAGCACAACCCAGGTGTTATTGTTAGTACCCAACAAAGCACATCATAGTGCACTACCCTAACCGCACTTGTTGCTGACTTTGTAATCAGGGTTAGGTGTAACATTTCACCAAATTGTTGGCCACCGTTTTACCCACGTGGTTTGTCACGTAGATGTTAATCATGATACCAAAGGCGACGGTAACGGTTCTACAACGGAGATTGTCATCGCTCTTTTCTTATGTCTTTTACACTTCGATTGCATGACTTCTTCGTACCACTAGGAAATTCCGATTTCCTTATTCCCTAGCGGGTCTTCCATCAGCTCCGTGTATTGTGTTCACGATTCCTGTTGAATGTGTTGTTGTTTTAATTAGCGTATTTCAATATCTCTCTCCTGATTCTCGCTATCGGTTTGCTTGGCTGTGAGCCGTGTAGATTTCGTACCTGAGCGTTTTTGTTTTCCATTCTTGCGTCCTTAACGTCCTCAATTATATAGAATCGATATCGATACAAACACGAGTTATTGACAAATTTCTATCAAGAAGAATCAATGAATCTAGGGACTGTATAGGTGGGTTAGCATTAGGCTGCCTGCCAAACCTGGTTGGTTGCACTAGAATTAGTAGGTGTCCGTCAGTCTGTTATTGCATTAACGGGTTAGGTTAACTGGTTTAGGACGGTTTTGCTAGGGCACTGTTCAGTGAAAAAAAAGTGTTCGTGTAATAAGTTACTTCGATCATCTTGTTTTCCGTAATGGACCAATTTTGGGTCATCTCGTTGGGTCACTCTTCTAACCCTATGTAGTAGTGTGGGAATGGGTTCTAATGTTTGGCGAGAGAAAGAAGACCGAATTATTGTGATAGATTCCTTTCCTATGGGAACCATCTATGGCCATGCAAGAAATCAGTTGTCGCTTCAATGCGAAAGATGTATAAATCATCTTTGGTTCCTTGTTTCCCTATATTCGATCTGTGGTTCCTTTCATGAGTGTTAGGAACCTAATGAAGAGTGATAGATCCACTTTTTGTTATTTGAAATGGTCCATGGCCCTATCCATCATCTAGCATTCCCTGTAATTGGTCAAAGTAGCTCCAAATGGTTGTTGTTGTTTGAATCGATTACTTTAAACCGAGCGATCTCTGTTGTTATCGAATGTAATTTTTGTCAATTTCGGTCAATTTTCGTCAGTTGTTGTATGTGCTCGGTGATTACTAGTATCTCGTTCACATTCTCGTTCTCCTCCAGTTTGCCTTGCTCGATCCTTTCATGTGTACGTCGTTTGTAAGTATTTCGTTCCTAGCAAAGGCCGTTTCATCAGCTGGATAGTATTGATGTTCAAATTTTGTCTGTCAAGAGGTTTATTAAACGATTGAAACTTCCTTCCTGTTGTGTTGGTTCATGTAGTAGTGCACTCTTCGAGTTTTGTTAGTTCATGATGTCTTCGAGTCTTCCAAAAGGAATTGGTCCGCCGCCATATTTGAGGTATTGTTCTGTATTGTTCCCTTCCGTAATATTTACAGACAATGCACGGCGGCTCCTCTTCAGGTCTGACAAATCACGTCAGGGACGGTGTTATTGACCTAATGGCTGGTACCTTAGGTGCGTATTTTGATATTTCTGTATAAGTCAGTACAATTTCTTTCTGAACACTTCAGGAGGGGATTTTTTCAATCCAATCCGTCACTAAGTTTGGAATGTTCGGAAGAAAAACCCGAGATGGGGCATGCTGAGATGGGGCATCCCCGACCACCGTGCAAGCGTTGATGCGCTTTTGTGGCTTGAAAGTGCGCGACAAAGCGCTAGAAGCTCGCTCGACCCGCAATCCACACCTTCGTCCGCAAGCCCCGCCTTTCGCTACCTGCTGCCACGTGACGCTTCCAGAAAAGCGCGAGCGCAGTCACGGCAGGGTGTTGTGACAATTAATCCCTTTGATCCTCTGTGTTTCCTCCATAAGGCAAGACACCTAATGCTCAAACTTTTGCCACAGGTTAAGTGCTCACACATGCTCAACTTTTGCACGCAGGTTAAGTGGCTACACTACTCTTCGACCCCTGATTTGCCTCATCTGCCCGTTGGCTCGCGCATGGTTTACGTAAATACATGGTTCCACGTCCACACCAAAAGGATTAGTGGTATGTAAATCTTGCATGGCGCAGCGGTTTGCTTATTGGAGCGGGTCAATCATTGGCACTGGGCGCACTGGAGCTATGATTGTGAATCAGGTCAGCACGGGTCATCCCAAGAATGGAATGCGGCTGAACTAGAGGCCTACCCTATTCGGGTCGTAATCGTGGTTAATTGTGCTATTTCTCCATACCAGTCCACACCTACTTCTTATTGTGATCACACATTTTATCTCCGGGGACGTTGGCTTACTCAATCGTAAAGGATAAAGGTTGGAGCACTCGTAATGGTATTCTTAATGCGATTTCGCCTACACAATGACTTGCGGGGTCACGCTGTACAACTGGGTGTTTTGTTCCCCCTAGGCTGGTGTCAGAGTCCAGTGATCGTCGCAGGTTTTCGCGCGATCTAGCGATTTTACGCGATTACGCGATTTCGCGGCGGATCGCGAATTGGCAAGTGCCCCATTTGAGTATTTGAAACACCGAATATGTGAGCTATCATTTACAAAATACTGTGAACCACTTTTAACCAGATTTACTTGAAGGCGGTCGTATTGAGGTGTACGCGGTCTGCACTTGACGCTCTTCTCTTTTTTTGGGACGGAGGATACATTATCCTGTCATGGAACAAAAATAGCATGTTGAATACCAAATCTTAGGCGACATATGCCTTTCGGGATGACGCTCATTTGGAGGTTTAAAGTGTTTTGAAACTTGGAACAACCAACTATCTTGCAGGTGGAGTAGCAAACGTCTACGCCGGGCAACCATTGGACACGGTTAAAGTGAAAGTACAAACATTTCCGCAGTTGTACACTAATTGGGTGACGTGCCTTAAGGATACTTACCGATTAGACGGCATTCGAGGGTTATATGCTGGTTAGTTTCTGTTTTTTTTTTCTTGTGATAGCCGCTTCCTTTGGAGGCATGCAATCTAGAGTGTCAAAGTGAGCCCGTACGGGAATTTCTTCTGTGCAGTTATAGTTCAGCTGACTTTGCGGACTACCAATTACTTGTACTATTTCTTTGGCAATTTCGAGGACGTTTTACCAGCATGGCAGCAAATGTAGCTGAAAACGCTGTTCTCTTTACCGCATACGGGTATTGTCAGAAGGTGAACATTCATTGAAATCAGTTTCTGCATTGCACTGTGTAGTAATGTATATACAGATTGTCAGTGTAGTCACTGGTCATCGAGACGTCAAAACTATGACGCCATTCGAAAATGCATCAGCTGGTTCATTGGCAGCCATCTTTGCAGCGTGCGTCCTATGTCCTACCGAGTTAGTCAAATGTCGTCTACAAGCAGCTCGTGAAGTCGGTATTCGCTGGTTAGTATTGCTTTATTCAACAGATGCAAAAGTGAAGTGTTTCTCTTTATAAAATTCGATTCAGTACCCCTACATCTGTATGTAGAGATATGTGGCGAGAAAGAGGCATTCGGGGATTTTTCATCGGAATGACGCCAACGTTAGCACGAGAGGTATGTTAAGAAGTTGTTTTAGATATAAGCAGTCCGAAAACGTTTGTGGCGGTGCCGCTTAGCCTCAACTAGCTTCGTGAACCCTGATCGTTTTTCTGTTCCTGTCTAATGCAAGAGAAGAAATACCGTAGCGTTCAGAAGTTCCACCAGAATGTTTATTTTGCCACTACTTCTACTTCACTACTGCTTGGCAACTCTCTCTTGACTGATTCGCTTTGATTTTCGACATAACACGTCTTAATGTTTTTCCGAATCTATAGTTCATTAGGACTTAAAAGAAATACTAGACAAAGGCTCTAGTTTAACGTCGGGCTTTTTTTCATGGGAAGTACGCAATGAACTAAAAGTGGTTTAGCGAGTACTTTCGACCGCATCTGTAGGAAAGAGAAGATAATTTCCTCCTCAGTCTCAATAATTCTTTTGAGGTGCCTGGTTATTTTTGCTTCTTTGGTGCCTACGAAACTTCGCGATATCTGCTAACGAAAGAAGGACAAAGCAAAGATGAAATAGGTTTTTCTTATCGTATTTTTGTTCTACTTTTTCTTACTTTTGATTTCCTCATCAGCTGTCTATGGTTACAGTTTCGATTGAATAGCATTTACTATACATATGTTACATGCTTGAAAACGAGGTCACCACATGACAGGTTTACAATAAGATAATACACTGAAACAGAAGTGTAGAAGGAGGAATGAAGCTCACTGGAATGTAAGCGCTCAGAAGTAAACATTATTTTTCGATTTTTCGAGAGGGGGAGTTCTTTGTGGAGGAAGGAGGCACCACTATCAAATAGGATATCCCCATAGGACATACAGGCTGAGTGCATCGGCCTGCTTTTCTATAAGATTGTTAAAGGCAGTAGTGCAAAACTGCTTTCCAATCTGTTGAAAATGAAGAGGACAAGATGGAAATGAATTCTTTATCGTACAAATACGAGCACTTGTCGTTTGTCTCTTACCATTGTTGCACTAGGGAATTCTTTGTTATTTGACGACGTCATTTGAATACCTGAGTACGTTATTGGTAATACCTAAAACTTGGCCTACAGAACTGTTCTGTGCATAAGGAGAGAAATTTGGGCTCACGCCTGATCTAACACTATAAACTTTTTACAGCGCTCATTTCGTTCGCTGACATTCGTGACTGTGAGGCCAATTCTTTCCTGTGGGAAATTGTCTTACGAGCGCATAGTCGAATTCTTTGTCTATTCTATGTGCCTGGGACCTTACTTCGTGAACCCCTACCTCCTCGACTTTCCCACAGACAACGCTAAAATCGCGGGCTGATACACAACACACCGCTCAAGAGAATGTCTCGCACGCAGCGTATATTCTTACTGATTCACATCGTTTCTATTTATCGTATTCGTCACAAATCGAAGGCGGTCGTATGACGTCATATTTCGCACGCGTCGGCGCAACCAGCCTGGTGAAGCGTTCAACCAGACACATAACTCTCCCAGCACCGACTCCAATCTCATCATATTGCATTTAAAGCTAAGAGATGTAACCGAGTCTCCCTGCGACCGCTATGCTATTCATCTTAGACTACAGTCGTCATTAAGTTTAGTACGATTCGACACTTCTTCCACACTGCCCTTGCTTCTCTTCATCATTATCTGAAATTTGGATTTTCCGCATCCCAAGCCTCACCGGCGACTAAACTGACCGGGCGTATTCAATTAGTCTCGATGCCGCGTCTCAGCAAAGGTTTTAGCGATGATAACACCAATAACTTTTGCAATTATCCCGAACATCGCCTGCCGTCGATGTGTTCAAAAAGTTGTGATCCCTTTAAAAAATGCAAAATGACAAAGTCAATAGAGTGAAATTATTCACTATTATCCTCTGGCCTGTCAATAACGGATCAACGCCCGCGCGCCCCATAAATTTGCCTTCTATATAACCCTTGAATTGCAGGTTCAATTGAACACACAAGAAATTTCCGAAAGAGCGGATCGGTGGATGGCCGCTCCATATGCGCAATGCATACTGCCCATTTGCATTCGTCACAAAGTCTCGAATGCAGGTATGTGGCTGTATAGTGCGGTTCTCCACTATCAGTAAGTTATGCGTAAGCTAGCGAATAGTTCCGGACTATTAGGTTTCAAGTATTGATTCCAACAATCACCTCGAAAGGTCCCGCAAGGGGCAACAAGTAAGTGAAGAATCCATTTGAATTCTACAACACAAGAACGCTTAAAATTAGTTAGTAAAAGCTCATTCGTGGGGGGAGGTTGGAACCAAAAGCACACTACGCAGTTTTCGAGTTTCTTATTTTTAAAAAACAGCATCTTCGTTGAAAATGCATTTGAATCGTAGGAAGACTCGAAATTTGTAAAACTAATAAGAAAGCTTTCGGGTCACTAAACTTGTGGACTTGTTCTGGAAAAGGCGCAGTTTGACGCTTTTGGCTTTTTGTTTGTAGTTAGAAATGCATCGCTTTATAACCGTGTCTATCGTTCAAAATATAGTAAACTTTCCAACTAACTACATTTTTGTTAATGTCAACGTATTTGATTGTTCGTGATTGAGTGCTTTTAGGTGGCAGGTAAAGGAAAGTTTATCAGTCTTCTGATACAGGTAGCGAAACAAGAAGGTGTGTTGCACAGTCGTTTCAATCATATTGCTTATTAGCTCTTCATTTTTCATTTGTGTAAAGATAAGTTGTTTTGTTTAGGTGTCATGGCGTTGTATAAGGGACTGTTACCTACACTAATCCGTACTTGTCTAGCGTCAGGCTGCCTGTTTGTGACCTACGAGGAATCCAAGAAGCTCATGCACTCTCTCTTTTGAGAAATGTGCAGGCAGTCCTCAAGGGACTGAATATGATGGAGATTTTCGTACTGTATCAGTAAGGTTTGGGCCATCATTAGGTACTCCTCTCCCAACATTCTCACCGAATACTCTCGAACATCATTCCTAACAAAGGAGGGTTTGTTTGAATGGATAGTGGTGTTTAGATGAATTAAGCAGCCTAGATTGTTGTTGTTAAGTTTGCAGTTTTATGCATAATATCCTTGCACTAGCCTTAGATCCAAGCTCTAGCCTTATTATGTAATGTAATAGAAGTTGAGTTTTCAAGCAGCTAGACATTCTTGTGGAACAAGCATATCATCGCGGTTTGGAGGCGAAAGTTTTATCAGGATTTTTTTGTCAATAAACTTCGATTATGACAAATTGCTAGCTGTGCCAAGTTCATTTTGCACTTTGAGATTAAGTGATCTTGATGGATGCTTTATATCCGGTTCAAGTAGGCTGAAAGTTATTCTAGTTTTATTAGCTACTAGTTGTAGTGACCATAGGTCTAGCAAAGTGATGTCTGTAAAACGTTTTAAATAAATTATTTTAATTTCAATTTTTGTTTCTGGAATGAGTATGAGTAGACACCTCAAAAAGTACTGTGAACTCGAAACTAGATGAAGGCGATAGGTATATTGACAACAAAGCGCAGACGAAGTCTGAATCTTGAGCGCGAACTTGCAAAGCATTCAACTGGGGCATGCTTCGTTTAGAGCTTGCATCGAAATGCCAAATTGAGACTTGGTGGGACGTGTACGCCATGAGGCCTCGATCATACTTCGCGACTGTCTTGCAGTTCGCTGAGTATGTAGTAGGTCAGCAATGACCATGCGATCATGAGATCACAAATCACAGGAGTTGCAAACGTCTCGGACGTGGTCGGTATGCCGTTGCCGCGCTTAGCACTTGGACCTCTGATTTGCTTCTCCCTTGCTTTTGCTTTGAATTCAGATTTACTTCCATTTGATGATGCGACTTTGCGAATTTTTTCCGTGAATGTGGACATAGGCATTCATTGTAGGTAATCACATTAATCAGTGGGGATATGGCTGATGGTTGCGCAGCCTCGCTTGACGCGCTCAAAGTTTGGGTGCTTCGTCCTTATTCCGCAGATGAGACGTTTGCGACTGTTAACCGGTGTACATTATTTTAGCGAAAGCTTGTTTTTCTGGTGTATGATTAAAGCTTGCCTAATCAGAAGAGTAGTATTAGCTGTCCAAGTATCGCAGAAGGCCACATTCGCACAACAGTTCTTCAAGGTTAGTTCAATAACGAGCATTGCATCCTATCGCTTTCACTCTACTCACGTACACTAATGATTCGTGGAATCGTCGTTGGACTACGCAGAAGTGACTGAGATGCGACAGGAATTGAAATCATAGGACCTCAATCTTAAGATCAGTAGATTTCAATTGATCCCAGGGCTATATACAAGTGAGGTGGGCAGGCCCAGCTTTTCACGCATGTCAAATGATGCTCTCTACCCTATATTGGCTACACTCCGCTTGCTCACGAAATATCCGATCTGTGACAGTAGACTAGAGCGGGAGCCAGTCACTTACGGGTGCTAACTTAGTTGCGATTGGGGGGGAACGTTGGCGGCGCGGCAGTTGCCTCGTTGGCATGTTCGGATAATTCCGTGTGGACAGAGTTCGAGTGTGCGCAGCCTACGGTGTAAGGGTGGGGGCAGTCACTTTGTGGACTGCCGATGAAAAGAACTGTTTCGAGTTACACACGCTCTCGCTCGAAGAGGGCCAGAGTGAGCAGCACTGCCCGCGCGCGCGTTGCCCCCCCCCCCCCGCCCAACTAAGTTGCACGGCCTTAAATTTCTGGGGACAAAAAAATGCGGCGTGCCCACCTTATTATGTATAGCCCAATCTTGGTGTGAAAAAGTGATAGCATCAAACGATGATAAAAATTCAAAAGAGATATAAGTCATCACAATGGAAGTCGGGGTGAGCAGTGAAAGTTTAAGAAAACATTTCAGATTAAGGAATTTATCGGTGGGTATTCACGAGCGTTGTGTTGTTTGACACGAGCGTGTTATGTTCGATCGATATACATGGGAGAATGTTTTTTTCAGAGGTCTCTACTACGGCTCGAATGCTTTGGTTATGCATGTAAGTTGCATCATTAGGGGAGGACATGTGGTGCCGACAGTTCACTCCCGGCATAATCGATGATCTACCGTGAGAAGTAGTATGCTGAGGGTGGGCGTAAATCGAATGCGAAATGGTTCACTCACACGGGGAATTCCTTCCCTGCAAGAATCGGGATTTTGTAGACGGTAGCAACTATTACGCCACATGCCTTCCCACCTAGATGAGACCCGCATTAAAAATTGAGTTTCTCTTAAGACTGAAGGATCGGTGCTACTAGGAGAGTGGAGCTGAAATAAGGAGCCACCCTAGCAATTTCGAAGTCGATTTCGGCAGTGAAAGTGAATATCGCGATGTCGTGCGCAGTTTCAGTTTCCTATTGATTGCGCTACGGTTTCGGGTGGTGATGTTATCCACCGAATTTTTTGTCTATAAATCATTCCACTACAAAATAGTAGAAGTATATATTCCTTAGAACTCCTCTGTTCCAATGTTTGATTTACTGGTCATGCCATCCGTGTGACCTTTTATTTTATTACCAGTTTAGCTGCGCACGCATTCGCGTGCATCACACAGTTCTGCGGCGATGTGGATTGGAACGGCGTAAATTCTCAAACTTGGCCCGATACACTACCAATATTTGATAACGATAGCGGTTTGATAACACAATAGCGGATCTTCGCGCTAACCACTTCGATGCAAATCGCACTAATCGCAGCTCCACTGCTAGATTCTGTGCAACTGTTTTACTCTACTAAGGGTCGTCAGGGTGTTGAGTTATGACGGCGAGTAGAATCTCCGCCCACTCCGGTGCACCCCTCCCCCAACAGCTTTCAACCCTCCTTTCTTCTCTAACCTCAGTCCACTTTTTCCCCGGTCCCAGGGACTTCTTTCAACCTAGCTATAAATTTTGCGGCAGTTGCGCTCACTTTCATGCATGCTCCCTGCCATTACCAACTGACCCCCTTCTCTCCGTCGACTCCAACCCACTTTTTTCTGGGTCGCCGGGACTTCTAGGAACCGAGTTATAAGAGTGGTAGCAAACTCCGCCCACTTCGGGGTGTGCCACATTCAACCTCCTCTCCTCCTCTCACCTCTGTACACGTTTTTTCCGGTCTCTAATTCATCTCGGAGCCGAATTATGAGGTCTTGTAGGGGACGAAATCGAGCTACGTATCTTTGTGGCAAACCCCGCCCACTTTGGTGCATGGGTCGCCCACTGATATCAGTTGACTATCATCTCTTCCCCAACCTTTTTCTACTTTTTTCCCATCTCCGGAACTTATTGGAACCGAGTTATGAAGTACCGTGGCAAACCCCGCCCACTTTGGTGCATGCTCCGCCCGCCAACAGCGGTTGACCCCTTTCCCTCTGCCAACCCTTATACGCTTTTTTCCCGGACTCCGGGACTCCTAGGAACCGAGTTATAAGCCTGGTTGCAAACTCCGCCCACTTTGATGTAAGCCACGCCCAGCCCTGACATTTAGCTTCCCCTCCCTCCTAACCTCTATCCGCTGTTTTCCGGTCTCTAAGTCATCTCGGAGCCGATTTATGAGCTCTTGTGGGAACGTCGTCTACTTACAAGGGAGGTCTTTCGGGGCAAGCCGCGCTTTTCCAAAACGGTTTTTTGCATGCTGTAGGGGCTCTCGCGTGGACTACAAATCTGTGTTTCATTTTCGCTGAACGGTTCCCTGATGGCCAAAAAAGGTCGAAAAAATTGTTGAGAATGGGCGGTTTTTACAGCTTTGGAGTGACGTTTCGGACTTGTACAGAAGACCACCTATTGAAGGGTGCTGAGAAGATGGTATCGAAAACAAGGTGAAATTCGCCAAAAATTGAAGTACTGTCAGTGGTAGTGCTGGAAAAAGTGAAGAGGTTTCATAAGCATCGTCGGCATCCCCATTCGCAGTGGTCTGGTGGTCGAGTGGATAGCGTGATGGACTTGAAGGAAGGACTTTGTGGTTCGACTCCGCTCCATGGGGACTTTTGCATTTTTGATTGTCACCTCCAAATGAGCGCCAAATTGCTTCAGCGTCAAATTTAACGCTATATTCACAATCAGGACCATCAGTAGCCCCTGCAAATGGGTTTACTATCAAAAACTGGCAGAATAAATCTGTAGCGCCAAACTGGCGCCAAATGGCGCCGACGCCAAAAAATAACGCCATATCCGTGATCAGCACCCCGATTTACCCCTATAGGCAAATTTCGACGAAAATCGAGATTTTGACCTAACTTCGAAAAAGGAGGTGACCATGGGCCACAGGTCGTCATGCACGCCGGCGGGCGACTTGAAGACGAGCGCTGCGCGAAATCAAGCGGAACACCCTGATGATTCACGGAATCCAAAGCTCGATTTCATAGAGAACATCTCCCACCACGTCCCTGTCCTTGAAATCGCTCCAGCTATGGAGATGAGGCCCTACGAGTGGAGGAGCCGAGGACCCAACATATCACGTCTTGAAGGAGAGAAGAATCTGTCGACTTCAACTCATGCGGGTGCTGTTTCCCATCACCAGCTTGGCTGCCTGCCACTATCTATTCTGTATGGAATTTCTTATTATTGGAGGAGGATTACGAGGAAACTCATTTTCCAATCGCTGGCTGGAGTACCCCATGGGCTACTGACCGACCTGTCGATGGCCAATTTTTCGAACTGGCTCAAAAAAAACTTCTACTTTAAGGAATATCTAATGCTCTGATCACGAATATGACATTTATTTTTCCAGACGGCTCCAATTTACGCCACTTCGGCACCATTTGGCGCCCTTCTGGCGTTACAACTTTTTTCCGCCATATTCCAGTTAAAATCTGAGTTTAATAATTACTGGTGGTCCTGATAATGAATATGATACCTAATTTTTGCGCTGGTGCTATTTTGAGAAAATTTGGAAG